TGCAGATGCCCAAGGAAAGAATAGTGTTTAGGAATGTACCTCAGATTTAGAAAGGAACAGAAACTATTGTCTCTAGATTTTATATTATCCAGATTTTGTAATTTCCCATAAAGTTAAAAGGAATCATGTAGCTAGTGTCATGAATTCCCTAAAGCCACCTAATAAAGGTGTAAAGACAAGAATTATTTCTCTTCCATGGAAAAACTGTTGACACTCAACTGGATATTGCCTAAACCCTGCTGACTTCTGAGGTCAATTTATTTAAAGACACACTTGAAAACAGAGATATAACCTGTGGTGAGGTCTAAGGAAACATATTAAGTCATTGATAAATTTTAGCCTGTCCTGTCAATCCTTCACCTTTTGTATCTACTTGGGAAAACACAAATGCATTCAGCTTGTCACCAATTTTGTTTTATAACCCTACCTAGTACCATTTCACATTTTGCTTAAGTACTTGGTCATCTATTACATGACTCATTAGTTTGAGTTCTCTGTAGAATTAAAGAAAGTCGCAGTAAAAATAATAAATGGAACCTAAGTTTCAACGACATCATCCATGCATGTTTTAAAAGCATCTTTCAAAGTCAACTCAAACTCATATATAGTGCTAGGGAACGGTGCTCCTTCAACTTCTTCTTAGCGAAACCCTTTGAAGTATTGATGAGTTAAATGACAAATGTTTCTTGTTATTGGGATTCAAATCAAAGTTTATCACATCGGAAGAGATAAAGGTCTGTTCCCAGAAGAAGAACCCAGGGACTATCATATGAAATTCTATTTGAGGATGCTCCAATTTTTCCTTCAAACAAAATTTATAGTTACTACTGCAGTCAGGACATTTAATAAAATGAAGGTTTCCTGTCTTGGTCCCTTAAGGAAAATTTGGTGAAGTTCCTAGTTGCAGAATCTTTCCAAGAGAAGTGACAAGGTTTCCCAGAGATTTATTTGAATAATTACAAACCATGTGAATGTTATATGGTGCACTATCAGTACATAATTAGTTAAAAATCAGAGAAAGTGTTGTAATAGGAAAATGAAACTTAACTGGAAACTACTTGTCTTATAAATATTTTTTCCTGTGAAATACAAGTCACTAGATTACAAAGCATTTCCCCAAATTTGTATCCTCCAGAGAGATACTGAATTTTAGTCCAAAGATGTGGAATATGGTATAGTTCTATTGTAGGCTTCTTCATAGAAGATGTTTTATACATGAGGCTAACTTGGTTTGAGTTCTGGGTTGTTACCTGCATACCATGTGATCCTGGGCAAATCTCTTGCTCTGAGTTTCAGTTTCTTTTTGTACAATGGGAATCATAGCATTGTACAAACGGAATAACACACAGTTGTTTCCCTGAATGCTATAGCAATCTTTACTGTATTCCATTAGAATCCAAAATGAGACCATTTTGAATTCTTCAACTTAGACATGAGAAATTTCGTGATCTTGTGTTAAAATTCATGCTGGCTCAAAAATAGTTAATGGCATTATTGTTTATTTTAGTGTTCTGGGAAAGGGAACCATGGTAAGGGATAGTGACTTGTACAACCATTCAAGGAAAACCTGGCCATTATATGGAAAAATCAAGGACATTTAGACTCTCTAGCCTGCAATTCTCAATTGGCTGCCATTTCTCACAAACACAAACAAATGAAGAAAGCAACGTGAAATGCAACACACCTTCTGATCCCTGAACTTTGGTTGGTAGGCTTTTGATGGGATTTAATAATATACTCCAACTTTAGCACAGGGATCTCAAAATGCATTATATTTCAACTTGGTTATAAAAGAGGTTCAGAAAATTAATGAGCTGCTTTACCGATCAACATTTCCTAGCCTTAACCTTGAGTAGCTAAGGAATGTTGGAATGTCTGCATAAAATTGCAATATGTTGCTTGTTAAAGTGTGAGAGCAATGGCTCTCAACTTTCCTAATGCTGCAAAACTTTAATATAGGTCTTCAGATTGTGGTGACCTTCAATCATAAATTCATTACTCCTTCCTAACTGTAATTTTGCTACTGTTATGAATTGTAATGTAAATATCTTATATGCATGATAGCTGATATGCTAACCTATGTGGGATGAGAACTTCCGTCTTAGAGTAAGTTTTCTTTCCTAACCAAGAAATGGTAATCCCAGATTCATTTCCATTTTCTACTGATCTACAGCTTTTCTTTATGAGCTTCAGTGTGAGGGGAAAAATTTAAGCCTCTCCTTAAAGCAGTCCATTAAACAGTTGCTGTCTTCCAAAAGAGTGGCAAGAAGGAGCTGGTGCACATTACAGATAATCTTATAGCAAAACTACAAACAAATGACACTTTCTTGAGAGACAAAGAGTATGCAGGAAAACTTCAAAGATGAAATTATCAATTAGTCATACTCTTTTCTCAATTTACACACTGTAATTTAATAACTTCTTGCATGCATGAATTTCCCTTCTAAAAAGTTTATGAAATTGCCCTATAGCAGCATTCCATGTAAGACTCAAACTTCGGAGTCACTGACAGTTGAGTATGTCTAGGTTCAGTATGGAGATGGGAGTTGCAGCTGGGTCCTTGAGTTTCTCACCAGGATGTTTAAAGTGACTGATGTGTGTAGTGATGTTCCACTACAATCTGAGTGATATCAAACATTGTTTTCGTGGTCAAAGGATGTGGTACATACCTACATAGTATATACCATAACTTTCACTTCTTTAGGTATTCCAGTTTACTCATTGTGTCTGGACAAATACTGTACACCTCAGCTTCAAGAACAGTATGTGAATGTTGTTCAGGTAAGTTCAGACAATCAGATGTCTGTCTGTGCCTGATGTACTCAGGGCTGCTTTGAAAGTATTAGACTATGTGTAAAGAAAGTTGAGTGAATCAATATGAATAAACACAAACTAGTAGATATGACAAAAAGAAAAACTAAGTTTGATATTAGCTTTAATAGATGTATAATTTTTGGTGCTCTAATTACTGATACTTCAAGAGTTCATGCAAATCCTGCTAATCAGTGCTCTTATTGCTGCTTTCCAAGCAGGAAAACTACAGCAAACCAAGTCTGCTTTATTTGGAAAAGCAGAAATAGTCATTCTCTATGTGGCAGGCTGAATGGGGTAGGTGAGATGAGCAGTTTTCAGACTAGCAGAGACTCAGGAGGATGTCAATTTTAGGCATAATACAAGCCTGATTCCTCCTTATTGCGTATGCAGAAATCTTTATAATACTCACAAGAGTTTTAAATCAATATAAAATTTAAGACCCAATCTGATATATTTTCTTGAAAGATGAGCTGATTATATGTTGCACCTGAGTTATTCACTTACTTCTTGAATATTTATTGTGGGCCCAGTGTGTGGATGCAATAGGAGTTGGTGCAGAGAAGAAGAAACACTTTACTATAATACTTGGGAGATTTACATTCCCTTTGGGAATACCTGGCATAAGTAAGACTTATTTAATTGATCAATTATAAAATAAACAAATTTGATGGATTCTACATCATGTTCCGAGTAGGTAGGGAATGGGTAAATTTATTAAATATTAGATGCAGTTTCTCTTTGCAACATTTTATAGAAAAAAAAATCTTTCTATTTATGAAGGAACTGAGAAAAAAAAGAAGGCAAAAACATAACCTAGTGTTAATTTAAGAGTATAGATACTATTTAAGAATTTCACCTTTAATGGGCTGGGGTTGGCCAGAAGGGCTTTAATGGAGAAATGGTAGTTGATGAACCTGAATACTTTGAACTATCATAGTAGTTGGAATTTAATTCCAGTATGGCAAATGTCATATGGCTATAGAATAATCTCTTAATATTTGAAATAGTAAGTGGCTTTCTATCAAATTAAATACATTGGCCTCACAGTATTTATTGACATGGAAAGGTATTTATAATACATTAAAGAATGACAATATATATGATGAATCTACTCTGAGAGAAATAAAACATATGCTACACATAAAAATTCTAAAAAAATAACTACTATAATGTTAATGGTAATTTTCTTTATGTGCTAAGTGTATGCTGATTTTAATTAAAAATATTCTCATTCTTCCCTGTGTATTTTCTGCAACAAAGGTGTATTATGTTTAATACTCAATGCTGGCTTTGCGAAATCCAGTGAAATGAATACTTTGTAAAACTCACTAAAATAAATATGTACACATGAACCCATAAAAACGTAGGAGAAAGAACCAAGAATGTCTGAACAATTAGCAGATGAGCTAGATGATACATGATGACAGAGCATCTGTAAATTTAGAAGTCTAAGGTGGACATATGATTGAGTACTATGAAATTATAAAGTTAATTGGGAGACACATACATATTCATTAAACTACAGGCAATTGAGGTAAAGATTGGTCTTGCAAGATAGGGAAATGAAGTTGTTTTTTTTTTTAATAAGGCTAAACTCCCACTAAAAGCAAAATAATTGGAATCTTTTATCCCAGAGTTGATTTAAGTAAAGAGAAAAATAAAAATAGCTTAAAAATTATCTAGATTCTTTAAAGGAAGAAAGGTTCATTAATGGTTGTTAAGCAAAAGATAGAGATGCTGTGAGATATTCAGCATTTCTGACAGTGGTGGAAGTTGGCAATAGACCTCCCTAGATCCAATGCAGGCCACAGAGCAGAAACAAGAGAGTGGAGACTCTAGACTGAGACCAGTTAACTCCTTAAGTGCTGGATTGTGTGGAGTTCCCAGAAAACAGCACCCAGTACAGGTTAGAAATCTTGAGAGGCACTTCAATGGCCCTGGGCAGTAGTTATTTGCTAACTACACTAAAATCATATCAATCATTTGATAACAATTATGATCATACTAACTAATGCATATCATCTAAAATTTTGCCTTGATGTACCAGTCTTCTGTGATAGACTCTGGAAAACCTGTCTGTGACAGGAAGAATGTTGAGATAGACACAGTATGACAATAGCTTTTAGATTTGGTGATATCAAACAAAATCTGTGGTCAATTGAGGAATGAATTTCTGTTTATTTTACCTCGAGGGCTGTTCAATGATGCTTCTGAGGCTTTGCCACCATCTCCGCAGTGACTCTGGTCAAAAGGAAGACACTGATCACCTGTGCCGGCCACCACCTCAAAATTCTTAGTCAGATCTTTTGTTTCCACAAGAGATTTCAGTTTGTAGACTTTTCGAGTATTTGTGTCTGATAGGTAGAGTGATTCAGACATAGGATCCATAGCCAGATAGTACTTGTGTGCAGGGCTTGTGCTATGGAAGAAGAAAAAAATAAGTCATTAAAAGCAATTTGTTTAACATGTACCCTTGGAGTCTGTTTTTGTCACAAGTGGAAAAATATTTTAATAGATTAAAGAGTTGATGTATCTTCCTGTGTAAGTACCAAGGGTCTAGACATGTATTTGTTTTTCTAATAATGGGTCTAGGTATGAGTGAATCCAAATCATCCAGCTAATCTATAACGATGCTGACATTTTGATGCTGTTTTTCAAGAGTAGAAATAAACAGAGAAAAATATCTCAGGAGCTGATTTTCCTATTCTGTCATCCAGTTACCAGCTGGGTGATTGCTTGTGTCAAGGTCACCTTGAACTCACCAAATTTAACACAATTCTTGTTTTCACCTTCTTACCCATCTCTCAGCAAATTGTTCCTTGGTCTTTTGGTCTTTCTGCCTCCCCTCGGGACACTGCCATCTTCCTAGGTGCCTGTTGTTGATTACAAGGCATGTTTCAAACTAGAGGACTATTGATCTTGGAGGGATGTGTCTAACAGAATATTATTAAAGTTCCAAATTCCCTCTTTGAAGTGAGCAATGCTTCTCTACACACTTTCCCTTCTGTCAGATACTGGTGAAATTTAACATTTCTAAATTATGATATATATATATATATATATATATATATATGACATATATATAATCATGACATTCGAGTTTTTTTCCTTTGTTGCTGTTGCCATGATAAATACCATGAGATAAGCATAAATGTGGAAGAATGGGTTTATTACCCCTTATAGGTAAGAGTCCACCATTTAGTGAAGCCAAAATGGGAACTCAAGGCAGGAAACTAGAAGCAGAAACATAATCAAAGACCTTGGAAGAATGGTGCTTACTGGCTCGCTCTCCATGGATTACTAGGCTTGACTTCTTATACTACTCAGGATGACCTTCCCAGGTGTGACAGTGCACTGGTGTGCAGCGGACTGGGCCCACCCACACCAATCAGCAATCACAGCAATGCCCCACTGATATGCCCATTGGCCAGTTTGATGGAGGCAGTTTCTTAGTTGAGGTTACCTCCACCCAAGTGACTCTAGTTTGTGTCATGCTGGCAAAAATTAACGAGCATACATAGTCACATGGTTGGGTACATAGATTCACCTCTGTTGTATGTCACATAGAAGGTGTTTTTGAAGTTGCATTCAGTTTTTCATAGTGTTTTCATAATTATTCTGACCACTTCTATAGTTATATTGTAAAATATTTTGATGTAGTATAATAACCCTTTCTACCTCATCTATTTTCACATGCTTTTAGTGTCTTTACCCAGGCAGCTTCTCATGAAGGAAGCCTTCCCTAAATTTCTACATTGGGTTGTTTGCATAATGCTTAGGAAGAATACATACCAATTAAATGACTTGTTTAAGTATGAGTGTTCCCCAGTCTAATGAACTGTGAGAATTAGCAGGAAGGCAACCATTTCATGTTTGTTTCTAATACGTTTAGTGCTGAGAACTCTACTTAGTACCTACTCCCTGTGCCAGAAGCAAGATATCATTCTTTTCTAACTCCTTTCTACCATTTCTCATGTCTATGGGACATCATGCTCTTGTTTCTTTCCCCCTACTAACGTCTTCAGTATTTCCCTTTATCTCTGATAGTTCAAGCACACATCCTCTCTTACCGGAGCATTCACGGTGCCATTTCTATGTTGTGTGCTTGTTTATTAATTCATTAAAATACATCTTCTAAACACCTGAAATGTGCTCAGGAACTGTGCTATTGGATAAAGGCCAACTTGTGTATAAGATACAACCATTTTCTTCATCAAACTTACAGCTTAGTCAAGTAGACCAATGAGTAAACAAGGTATGACTCTCATAAGTAAGATATTAGTATAGAAAATGTGAAAAGGGAGAGAAATGATCAGAGAAGAGGGATTTGTGATGTAGGAATATCTATCGTAATGTATTAGTGTTTTTCAATTACTAATTGAAGTCTATGTTTTATTTGATTCCCTTAGTTTGTTTATTATTATTATTATTATTATTATTATTATTATTATTATTAATCTAAGATAATTTTCCCATTCCAAGACAGCAAATTACATTTAGTCATCATGTCTTTTTAGGCTTTTCTGGTCCATGACATTTTCTTGGACTTTCCTTGGTTTTGATGACCTTACCAGTTGTAAGACCATTTGTCAGTTATTCTACAGGAAATCCCTTTACAGGAATTTGTTTAATACACTTCTCAGATAGGAATTGTAGAGTTTTGATGGAAAAGTTTAATTTTCACCAAATCCCACCTACATTATAAACAATCAACAAAATTTATCACTGACCAGCTTGATCTCAACCTCCTGGGAGAGCCATTTTTCCTTACTGTAAAAAGCATTCCTTATTGTCTTTTTTGGAGGGACATAATTATCCACAGAGGAGACTTAAGCTATCAGGAATTACATCCCACACCCTTGAGAGTAGATCATCACATAAATTATAATTTTGGATGTGTGATTTATGTTTTCCGTTTATTTAAGAAAGGTATGAGTTTTTTAAAATATCAGTATGGGCTCCACAGACATTTATTTTATGCTTGCAGCAAATGAAATCCAATGCTATTTTATGTTGTCCTAGTTGCTACCACTAAGACCTCTTTCTCTTGGATTATATGCACCTTTTACGTGCATCCATAAATGTTTATTATTATTATGGTTATAATGATGATAATGTCAAGACTTAATTACATCTGGCACTGCAAGAATGTTCTATACTCATCTTAAATCCTTCCTTCCATTATACCAGAACCAGCCTTTCTTGAAAAACAATGGTTCCTATTGTTTAGTAATGGTATTAAAAAGCAAGACTGGATTGATGGTTCTAAGTATTATCTTTGCAGGTAACTTTCTTCCTAAATACATTGTGACCTGTCTGCATACAAAGACCATATCCATCTCTCTGCCCTTGATGTCCAATAGCACCTGAAAAGGTCAGTATTCAGTAAGTTCTGAACAAGAACTGGAGTGTATGGCATAAAATAAGGCATGAAAAAGAGTTCAGGCTTTGGGTACTTAGCCAAAGAAAGTGGAGGGGAGAGTCTCGTCAGAAGAAAGAGATCTTTTAAGGATTGACATTCTCTTAATTGCAATTGCCCTCTAAGCATATTTATGTATGTTAATAATTATAAACTTGGCAAATGATAACTTGAAATTCAGTTGTACTGGAAGAAAATCAGATTCAGTTGGAATAGTTGAATTTTTTTTTCTACTTACCTTCTTTGAGTAACAGAACTCAGTAGATTTCAGGTACTTTTTCAACCCTGGAACCGCCATAAGAGGTGCTTGCTATATGTAAATTGTAAAGGGCACCACCAGATTCCAAAATGATTTGGCAGCTCTACCCCTAAAGCATCTCTACAGCAAAGATTTCTCAAATAGGTGGTGAATAAAACTTTTTATGTCTTTAGTTCGTTTTTTTTTTTTAACTTTCAGAATAATATCTCTCCAACATACTTAGATTTTCCTAGAGTAAAGGATGGGTTGCAACCTTTCCTGGATATAACTTTAATACTTTGGTATCCAATTTGTGCAGTTTCAACTGTGCCAGATTAATCATGCTTTGTTTAGGTAGGGACCATGGGCTATTTTTCCAAGAGAAATGTTATTCGCACAAAAGTAGTTTGTAATGCATTACATTCATTCATTATTGAATATCTCCGATGTGCCTGTAAGCTAAGTTAGAATTAGTATTCACCTCAAATTTCAGCTGGGGAAACCCAGTACCATAAGGGGCTTGCCCAAGGTCACTCACAGTTTTGTGCCCTTACTAAGATTAGATTGGATCCCATGTGACTGTATATGCGAAATGCCAACAGAACACTCTTGATGTGCAAGTGGAAAAGACAACCCGTGTTCTCACATTTTCCTGAGTAACTTGATGTATTTTCTTCATCAAGGCTCTTCTTCAAATTTGTGTACTGGTTTTGAGAAAAGGGAGCAGCCCAACATATCAAAATAAAATTTGGTTAATGTTGTTATTTTCTTGACAGAAAAATACCTTGTATTGATATGTAATTTCCTACCATTTCCCAAGTACATTTCAGCTCCATTGACAATGATTTCTTTTTGCTTTCTGAAAACATGTAAACTTGCTGCAACTACCTTTCTATTTGCTTCACCCCAACATGACTAAATTCATATCATTTTGACAGAGGATTTCTTTTGTAATTTAGGTGTTAGACCTACTCTGTCATCTTCTAGCTAGTTTTATACTCAAGCCATTGATCTTCAAGTTACCAGTGATCACTTCATTCACATCACTTAAAATCACATAGATTTTTTTAAATGGAAAATTAACACTTATAATTATTAACATGCAATAGTAAGCAAATTGGAAACCAAGTGAATATGCTTAAACAATCAGTTATGCCAAAGTTGCAAGGCTGATTTTTTTCAATAGCATTTGGGAAGAGGCATTTCCCAACTACAATCCATATTCCAAACCCTACTTGTGCTATTTTGAAGACAACTGGCACTTGGGAATGAAAGAATTCCATATTCCCCTTTGAAATTTCAGAAAGTTTGAGTAGTTATGACAACATGCAGTGCAACAACGAGTAGAAATCCTCAGCACTAATTTCAATGCTATCTGCCATTGTCAGTAAATGGTCAGTTTGGAGCTTTTCAGTTAATTCCTTTGGTGAGAGGAAATAGAACACACTTAGTTATATGAAAGGAAAACGGTGTTATTAAAGATAGTTACCAAATACAAAAAGCAACTCTCTCTTTAAAAAGGTCATTATGGCCATTGTCTCTTGATATAATTGACAACTATACTTTTGAGTCTTGTGAGAAAAAATACTTGCAACATAAAGACATTAAACTGATTTGAACTTATGGGCTCATATGTGGTATCACCTTAGGGAAACATAATGAGACTTTTGGCCTTAATTTCTCATGGCATACTGATCTGTCACTCTCATTTATCTTATTTTCTTTTCTGAGTATTCTTTTCCTTTCTTAAATTCCTCCTGAATATGCTGATCTTCTTTTTTGGAAGATACTTACCGGCACATCATTTCCAACTTTACTTTTATACTATTTCTTTAACCTTAGTTAAGAAGCAAACATTCCCTATTTGTACATATTCGAGGGTGGTTTCTTAGGAAAGAGGGTCATTAGGCAGCTGTGTTATTTGCTTACCTATGTCTGGTATCTCTGTTTCTATGGTGCACAAGGTATCCATGAGTAGCAAGTGAAAACAAATAGAGAGTCATCAGTATCATTCAACAAGAGAAATCTCAGCAGACACATCAATTCCTGACTCAGCTTGTGGCAATTAGAGAGACTGCACTGGGATCATCTAGTCAGTGGGAAGCCAAAGTTGACTCACTTCTTCCTTAGTCTCCTTATAAGATGCCATCAAGGTGGTTACATGTCTTGCTTTGGTGGGTAGGTACAGTTCTAAGACAATAAATAAAGCTTCTTCCTGGCCTTGTGCATTGGGACCATTGAATTCCAGTGCATGTACAGTTTCTGGGAGCTCTCCCTTTTCCTACTAAACCAGAATTCTGACATGGAGAAGTAGTGATTGGGGATTTTATTTTTAATAAATTCAGCTGACGATTCTGATGTAGAGTTAAAATTTAAGAACCATTAGGCTTGCGACTGAAATAGCAGCTGCTGTGAAGGAGCATTCTAAATTTTAGTTTGATATTCCTGACTACAGCAATGTAAAACCACCACATCTCTCAAGACACATATTTGACACACACTAAAAAACTCAACTCTAAGACAGTTCTTGGATCTACCTCAGAGCTAAGGTGGTGGCATCTGTGCACACATTGTTGAAAACATTTCTAAAAGGTCTCATAACTTAAAAGTATGGGAGTTTTCCTCTGCATGCCACAATACTGACCTGCCTGGCAGGATGTACCCACTGCTGTCATAGTGCTATTACAATTATGGGGTAACCGATCACATTCTTATCGGATACAAGACTTGTTCCACAGGAAGGATGTCATGCCTGATAAAGTAAACTTGCTCAAAGGCCCACGATCATAGGTCCTAAGGGGGAAGCTACAGTTGTTGTGTTAAATGGTCACTTCATCAAACTGTTCTCTCTCTATATGTTCTTCTGTCAGTTTTGGTTAGAGAAGCCTCTTTCTGTAGTGGGTGGTAGATAATGCAAAGACTCATATCTGGTCAAAGTATCAAGAATAGGTGACTATTAGCGATCAGCTTATGGATGTGTCCTTTATATTAACCTCCCCTCATCCACGGCTTAAGGAACATCACAGAAGAATGGGCAAAGAATGTCAGAGCTTACGATGAGGAGAACTGTGAAATGCAGACTTTTGACATAATGTGGTTGTTGTACACATCAGTCATAGCACCTGTGGTTACATGCACAAGACCTGTACCATATCCAGTCAGACACACTTCCAGTACAAATTGGAGAGGGTCCCCTGAAACCTAACCTTTGGTAGAAGCGCTATTTCCAGCTAATGGTTGCTGGTTGAGGAAGAGTCATTATCCTTGGGGAACATGGTTCCTAATGAGTTGCCTATATACAAGTGGATGGCCATATATATATGTACATACGTATATACATATGAAGAGCACTAATTGGACTCAGGAATTATTAACAATAACAACAAAAGGGAACATTAAGCTAGGAGGGAGACCAGTTTGTGGGTACTAGTGGAAGTTGTAAGGAAGTAACTGTAGATTAATATGCCTGAAATAAATTGTATTAATGTATGAAATCTTCAAAGAATTTAAAAATTGAGGACTTTCACTTAGACCACAATAGAATGTCCTTAGCATTGAAACTGCTGCATCAAAAGAGCTTCAATAAAACACCATAACCATCAACTATTAAAGCCTTATGTCTTCCAGCCATCTTTGTTCCAAAGAGCGACTGGCGTGGGCAAAACAATTGTCAGCCTCCAAGAAGCAGAACGTTTTGTAAGCACTTCATTTAATAGCTTCTTGACACAAGGTATTGCCTTGGATGTTTCACTGGGTGACGTGGTATGATATTTCTCATATGAGGGGCTCAATCTGTGTGCAGGCCTGACTTTAGGTCAACTTTGCCTGGAAATAAAAGGCTATAATCAACTGTGAAATATAGTCATTTTAATTTTAAAATCCTTTTAAATCTGGCCCTTAGGTCACTTTGAAGACATGAAGATAATAAACCTTTTTATAAAAACCAGAAAATGTTCTTTTTCTTTGAATGTCCAGGAAAAAAAAAGATACAGAATTATTTTACTTGAAATTTTCTGCTAAAATGGATTCAACTCTCTTGAAAACTCATCTTTCCAAGGTACTCGCCTGGCCACAGGTCATACTCCACTGGCTCGTCTGTTTCTTTGGCCCATCTCAAAAGGGTAGGTATTCTGTGAGTTGCCACAAAGGTCAACCAGTAAGGAAGCAGAGCTCTGATTAGAAACCTGGCCTCAGGCTTTTTGCCTTTTTCTTTGTCTCTTAGACATTGTTTTTGTGGTCCCTATAAGATGGTTGTTGGAGCTGAGTGGGCTCTAATTGCTGGAGCAAAGTCAATTCTTCTAAAGGACTCTAGTTGTGAAAACACTAGATGAATCTCATTAAAATATAATTTCATCCACAACGTTTTGTATGCTACAGCAAGACCCATTTGCGTGTCTACAAAGTCTTTTCAAATTCTTAGGTGATGGCATGGAGCAGGGAGGGAGATGGTTTGATTCTCTCGCAGTTGCTTCTGATCCTGCCAATAATGTCATTGTAAATTTGGAAGATGTCCCATCGTATGCAGAGCAGCTTCTCTCATTAACATCTCAGAGGGAGGAAGTGAAAATGATGGAATTTATTTCTAGTGTGTGACCTTGTTCTGTCTTAGAATTACTTTTAGTTAAGGATTTAGGATTGAACTACCACCAAAGTGAACCTGCTGTCTAGCTATCAACTGACAACATACTGAGCTGCCAATGTGTGAACTCTTCACAAGTGCAGAGGCCTATCTGTGGGCATTACTACCTGCTAACTGACACTCTCGAAGCTTGTTATGAGTTAAGAGGAGAAAAGAGTGGACTAACAACTCCTTTGAGAGCCAGAGGTATTCCTAATGAGAGGATCTGTGAAGTAACCCTTGAATTTTTTTCTAGGACAAAGTCGATAAAAAAGGGTCATTTAAAAGGAAAGTATTGAGAGGTGATTTTTATGCCATAATTTACCTTTGTAAAATGTACATTTCAGCAACTTCAAATGCATCCAGATATGCAACCCTTATGATTAACCAACTCAAGAAGAAATTCTCTACCTATTTGATAATTATCATTTTTCCATTTATTCCTCCTCCTCTACTTTGTCCCAGGCAACCAAAAGTCTGGATTTTGTCTGTCTGGATTTGCCTATTCTGTACTTTCACATAAATATACTCATATTGTATTTGTACTTTTATGGCTGTCTTCTTTATTTTTGTTGTTGTTGTTGTTTTGAAGATCTTTTTGTGTGGCTAAAGATAGGAAACAGGGACCATGCAACCTTAGAGTAGCTGTTCATACTAGTGTCAGGGGAGAGTGGGTGTCTTGCTAAGTGACGGCTGCAACGCTCCATGCAGTCTTTACTTTGTTCTCAGTTTCTTTCCTTACCCCGGCCAGAAATAATAGACTTCTTTCCTTGTTCATCTTTTTGTGTTCTTCTCTTGATGGTTTTGAATTCACACTTGTTTGTGACAGACTTCTTTTAATTTATTTATTTAATTTCTATTGATTCTTTGTGGTGTTCCCATCATGTATTCTGATCCCACTCATCTCCCTATTCCCCTCATGAATCCTCTGCCCTTGCAAAATCCTCCCTAAAACAAAACCGAATTTAAAAGAAAATCAAATGCCAAATATAATAAACAAACAAACAAAAAGTAGAAGCATCTCATCATGGACGCTGTAGTTCACCCTTTAGTCCACACATCTTGCAAGTGTTCATTGCCTTGAGTCATTGGTCTGGCCTGAGGCCTCTGACTTCTGCTACACCACTGATGATGGGCTCTCTCCGGGACTCCTCTTGGAAATCCTGTTGCTGTCCTGTATGTGACTAACTTCTTAGAGCTTCCAACTCCCATGCTCTGGCTCTTTCCCTGACTATTGTCAAAATTTGTCTTGTGTTTTACAAAGCCACTGCTAATACCAGAGTGGCAACTCAGGTGGGGCATAGCCATCTATTTATCTACAGGCTGTTTTTCTAATATTTGCAGTTCTAGTTCTTTGAACAAAATGATGGTTTGTGGCAATTTCTCAGATATTCATACAATTCTTCAAAGCTAAGTTTCTTTTTGATCCTCTTTAAGACTTTCTGTAAGTCAGAACACCCCTTGGCACGTTAACTATTCCTAAATAGATGCTATGCTATACCAAGGTTCCTCCATTTCCAACCAATGACAGGAGTCAAGTCCTATAAGTAATGAAAGAAATATTAACCAATCACTGGAAAAGAAATGGTAAAATCTCGAGAGAAATTTTTATGTCACGTTGACATTTGTTGAGCCCAAATTGCTCAAGGTACCAAGATATATTTTCTAGCCTCTTATTTTCTTTTCTCTTTCATTTTTTAAGGGAAGGACAAAATAAATATCTTGAGAATAACTGAATTTTGAAAAAAATAGAAGCATGGTTTTTTTTAAATAAAGAATAAATCACTTCTAGTAATGCTTAATGGGTTTTCTAATAGAATTGTAAAATTAGAAGAGGAGATGTGAGCAAGGGCATATTACATATTTGAATTCATACGAAGTACTTGGTAGGGTGTCTTCTATCTTTACTTATATAATTATCCTTATTAGTTTTAAAAAACCAAAAAGTGACCCAAGGCTAACCAAGATCAAATGAGAAAAGAAGCAGTCATAATCGATGAGATCTAGCTGAACTTGAACATATTGGAGCTGAAGAAGGGGAGCTCAGAAATCTGATAGCTGTTTTCATACTTGTGAACATCTTTCCAAAATAAGATGGAAATCACTTCTGTGATTCTTCAGATGCTAGAATTTGTTATTAATAGAGAGACCTTTCATAAGGGAAGGTTTAAGTTAATCTTAAAGAAAAAATTCTTTTTTCTTTCTTCTCTCTCTTTCATAAATAAATCTAAAGATGCAGCAAGATTTTGAGAGATATTTAACTTTCTGGCTCCTAAAAACAATCAGACAAATTATAAATTACAAAGTGTCAGGCATGTACTGCACACAGTATCTTCATGGATTCTTCTAATAAACATTAAACTCACAAGTCTCTGATATCACTTTTATACTACTAAAATATGCACATATATTTTTATGTACATATATGTACTTATGTATGTGTACATCTTAACCTCACAAGCAAACCCACAGGGAAATCAAGACTCAAACTGTCTTAGAAATGAGTATATCTTTAAAGGTCTTCAGAAAATGGAGTTTTGAAACGTTTGTAGTACAAAAGCTTATAAACTTCACTTCTTTATTATCATCCTACTTGAGACTCTTCCTGGAAGAAAGCAATAAGAACCGTACTTGTAGACAAAAGCTACAGGAAACTGGGAAGGGGTACTATAGACTTAAATAACAAGAAATAATGTTTCTCTTGGCAAATGTGTGACAACAACAACAACAACAACAACAACAACAATATCATTGATTTTTCTCTTCTGGTTTTGTTTAGCCAATAAGGAATGGTCAGGTCAGGGATGAGGATGACTGGCAACCAATTAAATAAAGTGTTATTGAGATCAAAGGAAAGAAATCTCAGATGTAGATGGTTTGGATTGACTGGGGTAAGGTTGAAAGACTACCAGTCTTTGAATGTCTAAGTAGAATCTGAAATTGCTCCATGCTGTCAAATATGGAATAAAATGATGGAAAGTGGGAAATACAGGATGTCTTCTACTTGGGACAAATTTTATGCCTTCACAGAATGTCATCAAACACTGAGCCAAGAGTGGTCCATATGTGAATCTCTGCATAAGACATATAAGTGTATGTTTGAAGTATAAGGTTGGATTCAATATTACAGAAAAGGAGGTAGAGGACAGAGTACAATATATAATGTGTAATCAAAGAGTTAAAATTTAGGAGGGTTCTTTGACCTTTTCTGTAATAACTCATTTACAACATTGTTGCTTCACTCAATTTTGAATATAACAAACAAGATGACAATATCAGACCTGTATTTTCAAGAAAATAAATTACTTAATAAGGCACAATAACTGAATTAATTGATCTTAACAACAACAAAAAACTGCACAATGTAAACTTTCTATTTAAACACAGTAGAATTCAATAAGTATTTTGGTTCTAAAGATATATAGACCTTATTAAATAAACTTATTTCTTCCCAGAAAGTTTATATCTGGGAAAGTTATAGAAAATATATAAATCTTTCAATAATATACAAAGAATTATATATATGTATATATATATATATATGTTAATGATCGATATAAATTTTTTAAGTGTTTGGTTATAGTCAAACATAGGGAGTTTTTTCATATTGTATATTTAACGATCCTGTTTCTATGATGGCCAATCAGAGGAGTCTTAGAATTGAGAAGATCACAAAAATCTGTTTCTTTGAATTTAATTTAAAAGAGCTATTAACCATGACTCTATGACATTGCTTCATTGCATAAATGGTTGCTGGCAGGCTGCTGGTAGCATGGAGGCTAAAGGAGGGAAAAACATGGGAAAATTTTGGTGCTGAATTCTTTCTATGGAGAGAGACCTTAACTTGAAATAGATTCTCAGAAAAATCTGAGTCAGACAAAAACTGGTAAGAAACTCTGAAGGCTCATATCTCAGAGAAGCCCATTAAAGTGATAGGCTAAGTATGAAGGCCTGAGTGTGTGACTTCACATACGTGCATGCCTCTGTACTTGAAGATGTGTACTTGAAGATATAGGAGTGACGGAAGATCACAGACTTTGGACTGTACACTAAATGAGCAGAAATGAAGCATATTTTGTACCAGTAGAATCAACTTTATAATTTGAGGTCATGTTATTTTAATTTATACTTAAAATGATTTTCTGTTGAAGGCCACAGGGTACTTTGTACTAAAATGTAAATTTGTGAATTGTTGAGAATCCTTAACTGTGAATTTCATCAATGAAAGACAATTGTTCCACCATAGGTAAATTTACACTCAAATTACAAAGGAAAGTATTGAATTGAGCAGGGCTTCTTTCTCTTAGTATCTTTTTTTTTTTTAAAATAGATTTTAGTGCTCTTCCTTTGATGAGGAAGCCATGTAAGTATTACATATGTGGGCTTTTACAGGGTTAACAGGTTCAGTAACACCAGGTCTTTTCACTACCTGACAGCCCATGTGTTGAACGAATTGCTCAGTGCTTCCGTTCATGTTTGGCATTATGTTGATAAAAACCCCTAGGATTATGAAAACAATGTAGGATGTTGTATAAATAGTTTTCAAATCTAGTTATGCAACTATTTTAGACTTCTTGCTGACTTTCTACTGATGCCTAAAGAGATATACTACTAGAAATGACAAATCTCCAGGAGGTCTGACATTGTGAGGCCCATGAATACTTGAATAGGGCAGGGCTCTATGAATTAGTGCCCCTCTAGACTTTTTGGATGTGCTTTGTCTTTACAAAGTCTTAACTTCACAGTCTATTTTTTATTAACCAAGGGATTTAGCAGCTTTCTTCCATATGACAGCATTTGCAATTATAATTAAGAAATGTATTAAAACTATAGTGAATTAATGTGGAACATGGATGGTGGCTTGGGACTACATTTCCCAAACTAGGTGTGAAAGAATAACTCAGTTTGAGAAAAGGGAGGCGGATTCCAAAGCAAGAGTGAGGATGTGAAAACATTCGAGGAATGCCCATGGAAAGTCAGACTTCCATTCCAGGGCAGTAAGGGCTGAATGAGGATGGTGCAGAGCATCTCAGGAGTCCTGAGTACACATCAGGGCTTTGTGATGTGCTGGCTCTGGCAGTCACTAATTTTGATGTCAATGAGGAGATGCCTAAAGCAAAAATTAATTATTGTATGGAATATTCAAAAGATGACATCAAAATCCTTTGGACTCTACAAATTTTAGTCTTAATTTTCAGAGTCATGTGTTATGGATAAGTCTGACATAACCAATTAGAAGAGAAGCCCTGCCAATTTCCTCAGGGATGAAGCAGCAGTTTTAATCCCTAATGGGATAGGAATGGATGCTTTCTTTTTTGTGAACTCCAGAAGACATATGTTTGTCTTATAGACACAGAAAGGGAAGAAATAAGCTGATTAAGCCATGGTTGATTTAGTTGTAATATTTAGGCAACTTCAGGATATAGCAGAGCAAAAAGGTATGAATTCTTCACAAAAGATATTAACATTCTTTGTACTTGCAAGAAAATACTTAGAACAGAGGAAGAAAATCTAAAGATGGATGCTTTAATCATCACTGAATTGCTCTTTCAAAGGTAGAAAGTGTCTTCTTCCTTCCTTGTGATGCTATGAGAACACAGACTTCAATGTTCTTCTATATTAAATGACTTCAAAAGACTGAAAAGTCCTTTTAAATCTGGTGCTACTGCTACCAGCAACAATGGAACAGGTAGCTTTTAGTAGTTTGACAGCACTCAGTAACTTATGCTGGCACTTGGAAGTACTGAGATCCCTGTAACAGCCTTGCAGACAGGGGAGGCCTCACTGTCAGGGACAGCAATACTTTTGAGCATTTTAAATCAGTGATTAAAGGTTCCTTTGATGAGTTGGAGTGGGCGGGAGACCATTACTCATAACCCTCCTTGTTTTGGAAATTATGATTTTTAATTTATATTTTTCATTGTTGAAAACAGTTTTTGAATATTAATATTTTGGAGGATTTTAATTGAAATAAAATTACATCACTTTCCCTCTGTCCATTCCTTCCTTGCTATCCTCCCTGGAACTCCTTTTATATCTCTTCCCACTCTCAAGCTTACAGCCTCTTTCTTTTTGATTACTATTGTTGTATATACATACATGCATATATGTACATATACATATGTGTACACACATATATACAAATACAACTTTGTGATTTGTGTATGTGTGGTTTCAGGACTAACAGGACAACAAATAGGGGGGAAATTCCCCCATAGTAACTCATAAAAAGTATTCTTTATGCTTTTCTTGGCAATAACTTGCCTCTTCACATGATCTCATTCTTGTTTCTTTTTTCTTTATCTGTCAAGTAAATACAGAGATGAGAAGAAACTTACCTTAATTCCAAAATGCTAATGGAATTTCCCGAAGGAAATATTCGCCTTACAAAATTGAAGTCACCAACATACACACTACCATCAGGGCCAGAAGCTAAAGCAACAGGAGCAAAGAGTTTGTTGTTGTGAGCTGGGCCATTACAGTTAGTGCAGGCTACACTCCTTTGGTGTCCATTACCCATTATGGTTGATATGACTGGGGGCTGCTGGGAAATGAACATATTTTCTCCATTTCCTTTATGTATGATTCCTATACACAAGAAAAAAGAGAACAAAAATTAGAAAAGGATTTGCCACACAAACATCTTGCCAAAAAGTAAGTTTTCTCATAGAGTTCAAAACAGAAGGGAGCTTTGACCTAACAGGAGAATCTGAGAGTGAATCGTGTTACTGTTAATTTGGTTCAAATTTATAGTCATAACTGATAGTGGTATAGTGGTATAGCAGTTTGCCTAATTTTGTCTTTCTGTGAGGTGGGGAAATTCAAGGAGTCTCTTTAATAGTGATTCCAAATTTACTAAAGTACTTGATAACTAAATTTTAATGGTTTCCTATTTACTTGGCTCTGTGGATTCTATGTGACTAGTTGTACCTTTCTGATTGGCTCTCGTTATGCCTTGCACACATCTTCCTCACTCCACTTTCTCCTTATGCAACTGGTGCAGTAACAGAGACGCCACATTGATGTTAATATTCGCATTAGTAAAACACAGTCAGGATGACAATGTACTTTCATGAAAAGGAAAGAAATCCTACTACTACAATGTACCTCAAAGACACACTCAAGGGACTTGGATTTTCCTCTCTTTTAGACCATATCTCACGATCATCATTGCAAAAACTAGAGACATCGGCTTATGAAGATGCTTTCCATTCATTCTGTTTGGGCAATTACATTTATGCACACAGCTTTGACTCGCATCTCTGTTAGCTGAAACTTTCTTCTATTTGGAGTCCTTACCCAACATGCACTTTCTTACTAGACCTCTTTACCTGGATTCTCGGCAGCTACCCCAAGCTGAAAGAGGGTTGGGATTGAGCTCATTATATTTCCTGTATCTTCAACCAAACTCGTCCCTTCCTCTTTTGTTTAAACCAATCCCACGAATATCGTCTCTGCTATGTAGTTACCCAAATTGTAAATCTGGTTATCATAGTGACTCTTCATTTCATTTAATTCTCTAAGCCTTACTAATTCCCACTGAGAATGTCCTTTAAATGTAGTGAAAATTTCCCCATTCCTACTCTTACTGCCTTAGTTCAGTTTTTCTGCTCTCCAGGCATACCCTTTTCCGAACCATTGTTCACACCCTTGCTGAAAAGATTATTAAAACCGTAGAATATGTACATATCACTATAGAATAAAGAGTGCGTTCATTACTGAGAAAGCATACAGATTACTTGTAGGTTTGGCTTCTCTTATTATCCTTTTGTTTTTATTCCAATATCTGGTCGTAAAAATTTTATATTTTCACACTCTTTCCTTCTGCTATGATTTTGTATGGGTTATTGCCTCTATCCTGAATGGCCTCTTTATTTTGTCTGTTTGAGGGGACTAACTTCAGAGCTCCATCCAGGCAGAATTAATCATGCTTTTCAGTGTGTGCTCATTTTCCATAGCTCTATTGTAACACTTACTACATTGTGTGGTACAGTGTTCCTCACTTCTCTATCTTCTCCGTCGTAACATGAATGAACTCCTTGAAGGCACATCTTCTATCTTACTCCTTTCTGTATTTTTTTTAGTGCCAATCTCTATGGCCAAGTCTTTATAAGTGCTCAGTAAATGCTGAAAATAGGCTTTAAGTCCCTTGTGGTTTCCTATTCCAAATCTCAATGATTTTGTAAACCTGCTGTGCCAGGGCAGAAAATCCAAGGAACAAGCACTGCTGTGCTAAATGGCACAAGTCAGTCCAGAACGAGCCAGGGCAGGTAAAACATCCATGTTGTGAGAAGGCATGCCAATGTGTCAGACTGAAATAACTCACAGTGAATGCATAAATACAGTTATATTCTATGTCCTTCTTTTTCCCTCCCTTGTTTCTTGCACTATCTGTTATTCTCCTAAATCCTTCCTGAAACATCTTCCTTAGTTTTCTTCCAACTTTCAGCTCTACAAAAGAAACTATTGATCATTCTGAGATAGGAACATTGCTGGTAAAAATAAATAACAACATAAAATATGCATGCCAAGGCACCAATATATACTTAAAAAAGGCCCTTCCAGGAACTACAAATTTCATCCATCATATGATCTTTGGATTTCAAATTTAAGAATGTTTATGCTCCCTCTCAGAGTGATTCCAGATAGCTTTTCAACACATGATTTGCAAGAGTAGCTATAAGTTTACACTCCAACAAATTGACCTTTTATTACAAGACTGTGAAATAACTTTAGGGCCACTACTTGCTGATTATACAGTTGGTAACTTTATTAGCCAGTAAGGACAATTCTTAGGATTTAGAGTAATTAATTCAATATGATTAATAAGGTTGAATTTCATTTTCCTCCCCAAACATTTAATTTTAGTGTATCAATACTGCAATTTTAATGAAATGGGAGGAAGGGAAGGAAACTAGAATGACAGTCATACAACATCATTGAAAAGAAATAGCCTGATGATTGTTAGTCAGATATTCGACAATGAGAGTATGATACATTCTTTAGTAATTGAGGAAACCACTGTTTAGCATGTCAGTACTTCAACAATTCACGATAGGGTGTACTATTCAAAAATATTTCCAATTATTGGCTTGGAAATACCAGATTTGCTATTAACATCTATTTTCACAGGTAGATCTCCATTTTTTATATCAATATAATGGTATAGCTAACAACTGCCCTCCAAATGACATGTTATTACCAGGCTCCTGGCAATTTAAAAGCTAAAGATGGCTATTCTAACCCATTCTTCTAAGCCTGCAATTCCACAACTCCCCTTTTCGATTAGAAAGCCCAGTACTCTATCAAAAAAAGAAGAATGATTAAAGGAAATAAAACATAAGGCAATGTACTTTCTGATTACATCTCTACAATTGATGTCTTGCTTTCATGCAAGGTACTAAAGTGCCCATGTACTGAAATTACCATTTCTGTTTAACGCTGAAGCAATCAAAACAAAAATGGGCAAACCCCTTTTGTATTGCCCTGGAAAAATAGATCATTTTGAAGGGTGTTTTTGTTGTTTTAAGAATCTGTTTAACCTTCTATTACACAGAGCCAGGCCATACCATCTAGCGAAAATGATTTAACATCAATTCTTTTGCAAAAGGTTACTCTGAAAGTATTTTGTTTATGTTTCTGAAAATCTTGATCAATTACTGCTGCTTCTTTTCCAGTGTATTCTGCCATGCATGCTTGTTTTGTAACCGGACAACACACACTATTTATATGGAGGCCAACTTCTTCCTAAGGATTGGGTGTCTTGTTTATACTTAACAATGAAATCTCACTGGATGGAATACCTTTTCTCCGCCATGTTTTCTCTTTCTCTGATTCAAAGTGAGAGCCAAGTTTGCACGGTAATAAGGTAAGCACATTTTAAAACCGACTATTCCTATCTTTCTGCTACCTCGCTCAAAAGTTCTTCTGAAGCTTACTAACAAGTTTAAAATAAAATTCCCTATGGAAGCCAGTGGGTGGTGCTTTATGCTGATTTCAAAGAAGAAACCATTTTTCAGACGTATGACCAACAAAAGACGCAATACATATTTCTCTTTCTTACCACTTGACTGAGAGGATATAAACACAAACTGGGAGATACGCCAGTGTGATCAATGGCAGTTTACTTCTCCCAGTAAAACCATGTGTTGACAAACTACTGGCCTATCTGGGAGGCTAAGGAAATTTGCTATTTCCGATAGATAGCCATGTACAATTAGTACCCTGGAATTTTCTAATATTTTTTAACTATTAGTTCCTAGGAAACACCAGAGGTTGTTAGAAAAAATATGCTAATCTCTGTAAGGAATAATAAAATAATACTTAAAAAATACTAAAAGGAATGAATATGAACTTGACAATCAACTTGTTGAAAACATGTATTTCTAGAGTTTCTATTACAGTGATAGTAGAAAGTGTGTATGTACATCAGTTTGAATATTTAGAAAGCTTTTCCACAAGCAATAGTTAATTGTCAGGTAAATACAATTGTGGTACCTGAAATGACAAGCAGTCTGAACACAGTGCCTATTGGAAACTACCCACTACATAATGATTTGGGAGTCAGAGCAAAACTGCGCCTAGAATGGCAGCAGACATCCAATCTAATTATAAGTGTCTTTTTAACCAGTGAGAGGAAATTGGAGAAAGATAGATTCTTGTTTCTAATCTACTATCTGTCTCAAATCAAAAGGGCTGGGTGCCTAAAGAGTTAGGCTTTTTCATGAGAGAAGTGGAATGGGGGAATTTGGAAAGACATTGTTTCTGCCTTAATCAGTCAGAAAAGACCATCTGACCCGAGGGGGAAGAGCATTGCTTTCTAAATTGGTGTCCCCAACCCTGCTCCCTTGCATTTATCAGTCCTGCTTTTAAAATTGCCTTTGTGGGTGGGGTTTTGACCTCAGAATCACCCTAAGACAGGCGTGTGTATTCAAGGTCAAACTGAAAGGCATCAGTGGAGCTGGCTTTGAATCTATTTCTTGGCAAGTGGGATGAGTTCTTGGTGAGAAAGACAATGCCTCTACAAATAAGATGGTAAATATAAAAATGTCCCTTGGCAGATGAGAAGCTATCCAAAATAGTAAGGTTTCTTTTCCCGAATAAAATGATCAGAAAGGCAGAAACAGAAAGCAGACTTTGTGAGGCTTCTGGTAATGCAAGAAGTTTTTCTGTTGGGATAAAATATCCTGAATGCAGCTTTTGGTGATTGTAGGACAAGTACAAATTTTCTAAGCATCACTTAAGTGTGCACTTCAAATGGGTAAGTTTTATGGTGTTGAAATTATACTTCAATAAAGCAGTTCAAAATTCTCAGAAGTAACTTCATACCTAATTACCTAAAAAGTAATTGTGGGTGAATTAGGGATGTAAGGAATGTGTGGTTCCTAAAGCCAGCTTCCTGAATAGCTCCCCTCTGCTTCAAAGTCTGTGTGAAGCAAATGATAAGAAGATACAAGGCTGGGAGCACACAGCTGGGGGCTGGTTCCATTGAGGTCATTTCCCACTTTGTGTTTAATGTCAATGACAGGCGTTTGAAAGAGACAATCTATATATGCCAATAAAAGTGAGTGGAAAAGAAACAGCTGCTTAAAATGTCAAACTCTTTCAACCCAAAACAAAAAAAACCCTAATAATTTAATAAGTGGCATCTGCCCTTTTGCTTTTGTACTATGAAAACTGTGGCTCTCTTTTTGACAACTGAAAAAAATTGACATTTTACATCTGTGCTTGAAGCTTTACTGTTAAAGCAAACAAACAAACAATTTGAAATGGAACTTAGCATCTTCCTTCAAGAGGAAAGGGGACGTACATTGGTGACATACAGCAACAGATTTATTCCCCTATGTCTCACACTGGGGCTAAGATAGGTTTTTGTCATTCTATTAGTAGAGCAAGTCTGCTTATTTTCCCTAATCAAAATTTCCGTGTGGCTATTTTTCACTACATATACAAATAAAACAAGATCATGGGCATAATTGCAAAGTAGAGATCTTAGCTTCACAAAATAACTCAGATCGATTCCATAAATATAGGGTGGACAGAAGGGTGGCTGAACTAAAGTTACATTCATTTTTGTCTTCTGAAAATGCAACGTAAAGTGTATGAACTAGCCCAGATTCTTAGAAACTACCTCTTTCAACAAAAAGACAATGTGGTTTTTGTGGTGAAAAGTTCCAAGCAGTGGATGTTTATAGGAAATTGAGATGGAAATCCCAAGGACCAGTTTCTAGGAGTGCAAAAGTTAAGTGGAGAAGTTTGAATGAGTAGTAAAATCAGTGTAAACACAGGAGAAACATATGATCCTTTCTCATGCTTGATTTTCTTATTTACTTAAGGCTTCAATTACAAACTAAGAAGTGATCATAAGTGAGAGTGTTCTGATTCTGAGACACTAAAACAAATTCATCATCAAATTATAGTACCCATAAGCAGATGTATTAACTTGGACATGTCTAAGTGTCATCCTTGTAGGTGATTTTTCTCTTACATTTGACCAAATTTTCAACAACAAATGTATACTAAACAGTATTAGGAAACTGGTATTAATACAAATTTTGAAAGTAGCTCACCACTTTGAGGATTAAAAATATGATGCTTATTCAAGGACCAGCCTCCTAGGTTCGATGCATCCATCTCAAAGCCCTGTAAAACGACTGTCTTTTGTTCCCAGAGAATAAAGTCAGGGCACATCTCATATTCATATCCCACAGACACTGCAAAGAAAGAGTTAATAGTGTATTAGAAAATTGTAAAATATTTACTTTGTATTCACACTGGTTGATAATTATGTGATTATTGATTTGCTATTTATTTTTGATTTGGGGTGAAATTTAATAGCAAATGACTTTCACCTAGCATAGTTTGGAACTGTACACAGAATGGCATTAGTTACTCCAAAATGTCCAGCCAGTGAATCCTGGTTATATATATGAAGCATTAAGTGAGTGGATGCTGTGATAGCTAGTTAGGTACCATATGCACGTGAACATTCAACTTGATTCTGGGCTTTCTGATTAGATTCTGCCATGTAAATCTAAGGAGAGAGGCTCTTTGAGAATTAAGCACACATGGTGTAATTCCTCTCAGTACTTTTATAGGTGAAGTACAGGATAAAGCATGTTTCTCACTTCTCTAGAGCATAAAATGCATTCAGGAAATGGACTTTGGAGTGCTGAACCACTTACGCAACACTTGAATACATAAGAAACTAATAAAATTGATTTAGTCAATTCATATATTTTCTATACCAACAGCCTTTACTTTACTAAGAGGTGTGAATTTGCTTAGAGAGCTGAAACTGTAAATTATACGTTGTGTATATTATGTTTTTCTTTCTGCATATAGAGTACCAATGGGACATCACCCAAGCATTTGGCTCCAACTCTCATGAAGCACAGATGTTGTGCATTAAACGTGGAACCATAGTATGCCTCTAAAATGGGAAGTTCAGAATGCGGTACCTTGGATGTCTCTGTCCTACTGAAATATGTATAGCTCAAGCATACCAAATCATAGCCATTTTCTCAGTTGGTGAACCTGCTTACCTGTCGGAACCCCAAATTTCTGCCTTATGAATTTCAAAATGCTTTCTATCTTCGTAATGTTCTAAGCCTGAGAGAACTGACTCATTACACTGCACACCCCAAAGGTGCTTTTGCTTCTCTGGCAGCTTAAAATAGACCCAGCTGGTCTGTCTTCTGATACTGCTTTCCAGTACCAGCCTCTACCAGATCTTTACATGTCCTTGGAGAGTTCAGTTCTTCCTTTGCTGTTTGGTTATGAAAACTGGCAGAGAAAACAGGTGCTTAAGCAATGGCAGCATAATGGGTCAACAATAAAAAAGGAAAGCAAATTAGTTCTGGTTACTGGCATTATTATTTGATCAGAAAAATAATTAAGTTGATTTGCTTGTGTATGTATATGTAAGAGTCCATATGTAGATAAGTCAAAGATTTGTGAGTATACTATTCTTTATAAGTGCTTGGCCAGTTTGAAGTTGTAGGCTACATTTCTTTTGGCTTCTCAACCCAACAAGGCTTAGGAGTAAGAAATCACAATAGTTCCTGCTTGGCACGACTTGAGATTAGAAGGGCCATACCGTTGACATTAAGTTTGCTGTTATCATCTTGAAACCCTTCCTAGTTTTTAGAGAAGGGCACATGTATTTTCATTTTTGTTTCACTGGGCCTCACAAATTACATAATCAGTTCTGATGTCACCGCAGTTCTATCAGCTATCAGCTGATTAAGACTCATGGGAACTTATTTTTTTCTGGTATGCATACATGTTTGTGTATGTTTGCATATATGTGGAATCCAGAGGAGGTTGACATCTAGTGTGCCCTTTAAATTTTAACATCTAATCTATCTATCTATCTATCTATCTATCTATCTATCTATCTGTATATATTTGTGCGTCTTCCAAATGTGCATGTGGAAGTTAGAGGACAACATCTGTGAGTCAGCTCCTTCTTTCCACCATGCTGTTTCCAGTCAGCTAACTGAGGTCATCAGGCTTGGCTAGAAGCACCTTTAATAGCTGAGCCATCTTGCTGGCCCCACCCCTATTTTTGATGATGGGAGCAGTCTATTGGTAAACTGAGCTCATCAGTTCAGCAAGACTGGCTGACTAGCTAGTCCAGGGATCATCTTCTTCACGCTTTCTCAGTTCTAGGATTACAAATGCAAGCCATCGCACCTGGATTCTACATGGTTTTGGTGACAGAAGTCAGGCCTCCATGTCCTCTACCTGCTGAGCAGTTCTCCGTTTCTGCAAACCCATTTGTAATTTTAGTCTCTACTAAGCAACAGTATCAAGAGAGAGGAGTAGGCAAGGACAATTACTAATCATAAAATGAAAGTAATCTCTAAAGGGAAATTATTAGAGGGTTCTCTGTATAGCGCTGCTGTCTATGAAGATAGGTGCAAATAGGATCTCTGAGTTAAAAGGAACCTCAAAGATAATCCCTGGTTGTACTATCTCACTAATCAATGCTGTTTACAGTTTCCCTGCTATCTCACCATAGCTCTTATACTGGTTAAAACAACTCAAAACAGCCGAGTTTAGATCAAGAGAAGAAAAACTTTGACTTTCTTATCTGTTGGTAAGTAAGTTTGGGGTCTCGGGCAAATTCTTCTTCATCTCCAAGTTGGAAGAAAGGCATTGAAATTGGTTTTTCTTATGCTATTATGGGTTATGAAGTATTTAATTGTGAATCTTGTGAACAATATCATGGATATTCTTTCTGGAAAGTGAAAATATGCACAGAATTTTGTATACCAATCTAGGTGGTAGTTGTCTTAATATCCAAATAATATTTCTGGACTTAGGACACATATATTTAAGAATCCTTTTCACTTCCCCTTTTCATTACCACTATGTGATTCTAAATTGCACTCCCTTTACATGATATTTACAAGTTTAGGATCAACGTAACAAGCCAAATAGTGCAATGTGTCTCATGTTGGAAAGATCAGATGATTAGAGAACACATTAAAGAACATGTTGGTGTTTAGAATGACACCATTTCTGCTTCTATTGCCAATGTTTAAAAGTCTCGATTAATAAATAATCACAACAATAATAATCACCAGTTTCTTTAAAGTCATCATCTCTTTCCTCACAGTATGTCTGGTAATTATGGGATCTGCCTTCTGTACATCGGAAGCCTGGTAAGCACCTCTAGAATCCCTTCTCCGGAAGGTGATTGTGTAGTTTCGCAAATAAGTAATGTGCCTTGGTGACCTCTGATGATGGTGTGGAGCCTGTTTTTTCCCTCTCAGTAACAGTTAAAGATCATCCTAACTCGGCAGCAGGAAACGCTTACATAAAGCATCAATTAAACAGTTCTCGATGCAACGGTAATGAGACACACATACTCTTTTCACCGCCTTCTATCTGCTCTCTGAATTGCTCTCCAGTCTGCAACAAAAAAGTACATTGGCTGCAAACCCCACAATTATATTACTTTTTTCTCCCCAGTCACAGCAAATAGCAACAAGGCAAGCACTTAATAAGTTCCCTCTAATTTTTATTAGATTTACATTCTCCTGAGAAAGCTCTATGAGCTAATAAAGTTATAATTTATACTTAAGACTTGTCCAAAATTCCAACTGACTTTAATAAGAATGGCTGTGTGTTGGTGTATTTGTGTGTGTGTGTGTGTGTGTGTGTGTGTGCAGATCCTTGCTCAAAGTAACAAGGCAAGGTTCCTTTCTCGCACAGCCCTCTTAGCTTAATCCTGAAACTTACAATTGGCTTCTGAGAATGGAAAGTTTCTCTCTATGATGCTTAACTGCTCTCCAAATGCAAGAGGACTAGCAAATGCAATAGCAGCACAATCTTCAGCTTCTCGTGGAAACAGACCGCAATGCACTAAAGCCCCAGTGTTTTGTATAATTAAATATAGAAAAAGTGGTTCATATTGGATCCAGTGCTAAAAATGCTAAGCCTTGACATAACATTCTGCTCAGTACCATGACAGCTGCTGTGCTAAGTAAGCAGACTGGACCATGACCAGTTTCTGGTCTCTTCCCTATAGCATTGGATCATTAACACAGTATTGTATAAGTCACAGATTCAGCCTCTGGCACTCTGGAGTAGAGCTAGGAAAACTAATATAATAAGAGAGAAAACTAATTCAACAGTATTTCAGAAGGTCTGTAGAAGTGGTTTAGACTGGCAGTGAGCAGGGAAAGGTAGGCAAAGGGTCATGGGTTATACTTCACAGGATGTGGCACAGGGCCCCATGCTGCTGTAAAATTATTGGGAAGGCAATTGGAAAAGAGTCAATATGGAAAAATGCATTCTTTGAGCCATGTGGCACCTTCCTTTGTGATACCCTTAACTCCATCTAGAGTTATGCCTTTCCATAGTCTGTGTCTCACATGTATGCAGAGATAGTAAGTGAATATTCGCTAAGCATGAGTCACTGGTTGTCCTGTGCACTTACTATTATTTCGCAGAGAGCTGTGTTTTCTGATCATAGGTACACACCTCTGACTTCATTGTTAGTCTTCTTGCAAATCTCCCACTGGAATATAAAGAAACTGAATGCAAAAGACTAGCTTATTCTCTCTGATGCATTTGAAAAAACCCTCTTAATGTTTATTTTACTTATATGGGCAGCATTATTCACCACTTGTGGACTATAAGAAGGCTATGGGGCCACACTGTCTATGACATCTAGTTTTGTAAATATACCATTCATCTATAATGGCTAGAATAAGGGATTGACATTAAGTAGCCAAGGTAAAGATACAATGTAATGAAGCTGATATGTGAAATATGACAAGATGAAGCAAATGATTTTCAATAGCTTCAGGCTAAGGCTTCAGAATTCATAATGCTTGCATTTATGAAAGTAATATATAATTAAAGGTGATCTGATAGTGGAAAAATTTGTGTTACATTCATGAACAAAGCATACATCTAGAAATAATTTGAAGACATTTAAAGAATAACAAGAAATAAAAATCCTTTTCTTCAAAAAGAAGCCATTCAATAGAACAATAAATATTTTCCATTAAAACTATATTAATACAAACCCAGAAAATGACAGAAAATAAAACACCCAAAGAATCAAATGAAAGCCATAACAACAGATCAACACTGTGTTGACAACATGCTACCTATTGTAAATAAGTGAGTGTTCTCAAAGTTGTATCTTTTCCTATTCTCTAGTAATTTATTATAAAATAGTGTGACCTCAGAG